TGTGGGAGCTACAGCCTACCACTGCCAGCCCAGTCCCACTGTCTGCCCGGTGGTCTGTGCTGCTCCAGGACTACAGGGGCGGGGCAGGGATAAAGGGGGCTGTGGGTTTGGGGGTGTCTTCCTGCTCCAGCCCCTGGTGTAGGCAGGCAGGGGGCGGCCATAGGGTCACTGTGACAGGCTGCTACCAAAGTGGACGCAGCTAGGGGTCTAAGCTGGTACGTGGGGGGCATGGGGACTGGGAGGGTGGGGTGGGCCCCTGCTCAGGAGGCACCGCCCTCCCTGCCGCCCCGCTGGCTCCTGGGTCCTACGCGCCCCTGTCCCGCCCCTCCGCTAATAACTTCTCTGCAGAAACACAAACAACAGACAACAGAGGCAGACACGCTGTTATTACGAGGATGCTACCCAGACGGCTCCGCGCCGCCCACAGCACTCTCCCCTCTGCTGCCCCACATCCTGCTGCAGGGCGGCCAGGAAGCCCCAGATGGGCTGCCTAGTCCCCCTTGAAGCTCTGCCCATTGCAGCCCCTCGGCCTGCAACAGAACCTTCCTGACGGGGCGTCCCCCCAAGCCCTGGCCCCTGGGCACCTGCAAGGACAGAGCCAGGAGGTGGGGCCCTGGGCTTTTGTCTTGATTATCAGAAGAGCCAGCTGCACCACCTGTGCGCGTGTGTGTCCAGGGGCAGCATTCTGGCCGTGGGCCAGCTGTCAGCGGTCTGGGCCAAGCGTCAGGGATTCCTGGGTTTGTCTGTCTCTGTTGCAGGGTCAGAAACAGAACATACAGCCCAGCCTCACTCAGCAGGCTTTCCCTGTGAGTTTATGCAGGCTGTCTCCCCGACACCCCCTTCCCAGGGGCCTGCGGACACAAGGGGAACCTTCTCTGGTGGGGGGTGGGGGGTGCTCTGTGGGGTATTGAGCAGTATCCCTACTTTCCATCTGCTCCGCGGCATTAGCACCCCACACACAAAGGTCCCCAGGTGTCCCCCAGGGGTGGAATCCACCCAGATGAAGAGCCCTGAGTTAGGGGCTTCCACTGACCCTTGAGACTCTGTGCCCCATGATCACCTGTGACATCCTAGGGTGCTGCCCACGTTGAAATCCACACCCAGAAGGAGGAAGGAAAGGGAGATTATGGGAACTGCGGGTGGGGGTGGGGTGGGTGGATGACACCGTCTGCCGCAGGGAGAGCGTATTCTGCTACATGCTGTGAGGCTGGGGGTCAAGATCAAGCTTCCCAAATAACGAATGTCCTTTACCATAGCAATGTGGACACTTGGGCCCAGGTCCCTCTCTGATGGGCTGTCCTTCCTGTCCTCCACACTAGATGCCACCAACCCCAACATCCCCTGGAGAGACATTCACAAAAGTCCCCAGTCAGGGTCCAGTGTCCCTGGGGGGCAGAATTGCATGGGTGGGGACCACTGAGCCAGGGAAAGTGGGCCCTGGAGGAAGAAAGACTGCATTCAGAGACCGCAAGGATGGAGGTGTCCGCCGGCTTGGCCTGCCCTGCAGTGGGTGACGCCCTGCAGGCCTGGGGCTGGAGGCCTTTGGGTGCTCTCTGCTGCCCCGCCTGCAGGTTCTACTTCACCCTGCACCCCCACAGAGGTGCCCTGATCTTCTCGGCCAGAGCGGGATCCCTGGTAGGATACAAGCCGGAGGCTGGACCTTCTGCCTCTGGCATCAACAGATGGGGGTGGAGGTGGGGGCTCTGAGGGTGCAGTGAAGGAGGGGTAGGGGGCTGCCTCCCTACTATGAGCCCTTTTCTCCTACTAAACCTGCCCGCCTCACAGACCTCGACGGGGAGCTGGCAGCAGGTGTGCTGGATGGGAGGTACTGGGGAGAAGGGCAGGAGGGCCCCGGGGCCAGGTAGTGTCATGACAGGGTGGCAGGTGGCCAGGGTATCCGAGGAGCTAGAGAGGACAGAGGGGGCTCTACCTGAGCCAGTGGCAGGGGCTGTAGACTGAGCAGAGCAGGGACTGGGGGCCCTATGCTGAGCCCTCATCTGGCTGGCCTGGGAGCGACTCAGGGAAGGGCAGGTTGCCCTGGGACCCCTGTCTAGGCCCTCAGAGGGGTGGTCAGGCCTGCTGGTGCTTTGAGGCATCAGGGGGTGCAGGAGGTAAAGGGGGGGCCAAGACCCTGTTCCCAGGACTGCCATAGAGCTGGGAGCCCAGAACAGTGCTCTGGGCCCCATGTGGAATTCCACTGCCAGCCCCACCCCAGCCCACCCCCACCCCCGGAGCCTACAGCCCAGTGCAGGTTCAGCCTCCCCAGGCAGCCACTTCACACGCACATGGGCCTGGACAAAGGCCAAGCCATGTGGAGTGGGGGCGGGGCAGCGCTCAGGGACAGGGGTTCAGAGGCAGGCTCCCTGCTAGCAATCCACGCGGAAGTTTCCGGAGATGGCCTTGGCAGGAGTGGGAGGCAGAGATGAGAAGCGGCCCCCTCATAAGGAATAGTAAAGGGTCCCGAGGGTCCCAATGGCACCTGTCCCTGAAGAGGCTGAGTGAGCAGCACCCAGGAGAAGCTGCGGGCTGGTCCTGGAGCCCTCAAAAGCAGCTCTAGTGGTACCATGCCTAAAGCACTCTGCTGCCAACCCCAAGGTCATCGGTTCAAGCCCACCAGCTGCTCGGCAGAATGATGGGCTGTCTGCGTCCGCCCGTCAGGATGATGCTTTAAAACCCCTACAGGGCAGTTCTGCTCTGCCCTGCAGGGTCTCTCACTGGCCCCCAACCCCCCACAGACCCCACCAGCTGAGGGGCAGAGGCAGGAGACTCTTCCCCAGAGCAAAAGCAGTAAGCTCAAGCAGCTGCAGGGTTGCCGTGCCAACAGTCACTGGGGTGGTTGCTGGAGAAGCCAGGCCTCCCAGCCTGCAGGTCCCAGGCCCTCCCCTGTCCCCAAGGTGGCTGAAGCATGCCAGGTTGGTGGTTGTCATGATGCCACAGGGCCTGTCCCTCCTCTGGGAACCAGGATGTGTGCTGCCTCGGGGCCCCAGACTAGCGAGTTGTTTCCAGTTGCCCTGGGGGCCCCTGGGCCTCCAGACTCAGCCAGCCCAGAAGTTCTGGGGGTCCAGTGGTGTCTTAGCCTGCACCACCGTGAAGAGATCTCAGAGGGGCTACTCCTGAAGGGGGTGCTCCCAAGTCCCTGGCCCTCCCTGCACCCTGGAGGCCCAGGCTCAGACCCTGGCCCATGGTGCAGGCTGGACCTCGGTTTCGGGCCGGCTCCTTCCAGAAACCCCGAGTAGGATGATTGACAATGTTCTTCAACACCAAGTGACAGAGATGTCTCTAAGGTGAACCAGAACCCTCACTGCCATCGAGCCCAGTCTGACTCATGGTGACCCCATAGGACAGGGTAGAATGTCCCCTGTGGGTTTCCAAGGATGTAACTCTACGTGAGTAGAAAGCTTTCTCCCAAGGAGCACCCAGTGGTTTTGAACTGCTGACCTTAGTGAAGCAGAGACATATGTAAAACATAGATATGTCATTGAATTTGGGGCTTGTACACTTAATTCTAGCCCCAACCTAAGATCAGTTAGTTCTTATGACATAGCCCTACATGGATGCTTGACTTCCCAAAAAGCTCACTGACGATATGGGTGCTACAGAAAAGTGTGCAGAAAAACCCAGATGGTGCCCAGCTATCAGAAGGAACAGTGTCTAGGGTCTTAAAGACTTGCTTTCAAACAAGCAGCTATGTGAGGTATCAACTAAGTCCACATGGAAGCAGCACACCTAACTGTGATCTAAGGATTGTAACTAATATAATCCAAATTAGAAGGTGGGAATGGTATCAGAGCTTAAAATGTAAACACCAGGTTTGCAGGAGGCTATGGATGACAGTGGAAGCCCAAAATCCATTTACAGGGTCCACCCCTGGATTAATCCTCTGGTGAATCCCTGCTGACTATAGAAGAGGGGTGTGCACAGATAGCCTTGTTAACAGACAGCACTGTAAAGTGGATGGTGGCAGACACAGTTAAAATATAGTATGTTGTCATTCACTCTCCCGTTTGGCCCATTTTAAAATAGTTTTGTTTTCTCACGTGAAGGAGGGCTACTGGTGGAGTAAAACTCTGGTGCATCCCGACCACAGACCAGGGATGTGAATAGCCTGACGTCAGGCAGAGGGCATGGGAAAGTGGATTGCTGCAGAGGCACGCAGGCTAGACTATTACACCTTATCGCTTCATCTCCCTTTGACCCATTTTAAATTTGTTCTAGTCTTTAATATCTTATGCTTTCTTTTTGATTGATATTTTTCTTGCTTTTGGTTTGTTATTAATTTTTGTTATTTTTGTGTGTTTTTCTGTACATGAAATGCAATATAGCAAATCTATAGACTCAACTGGATTCATGGTTTCTTGGGATACTGCAGGGGAATGGGGGAAGATGGGGAGCTAATAACGATGAGTATAAGAATGAAGAAAATGTTCTAAAACTGATTGGGGTGATGATTATACAACTTTTTTTTTTTTTATACAACTCTTTTTTATGTGAATGAACCACTGAATTTTGGTGTGAATTATATGCCAATAAAATTGTTCTTAAAAAAAGAAACTCCTGGGGTGGGGGTGGGGTGGGGAAAAAAAACCCAACTCCTAGGGGTCCTATGGCTGCCAACAGACATGTGAAAGAACCTTGGGTCAGCTCCCCAGGGCCCCCCAGGGCTGGGAGGCTCAGGGGTGATGGTGGTGAGAGGTCATGTCCCCTCGGACCTGGTAGGATTAGGAGTTTAGGGGGACATGTCCCCAGAGCCCAGCAGGACTGGGAGCTGAGAGGGTGGTGAGAGACCGGTGGCCCAGCAGGGGCTAAAGACAGGGCGCCCAAGTTCAGCTCAGGAAGCCACTCCGACTCAGGGCACAGGTAGAGCTGCTCAGGGGCCTGGTGCACAGGTGTGGGGAAACGGCCCCCAAGGTTACCTTGACTCTTGTCCCTCCCCCAACACCCTTTCCCCTACTAAACCCTCTCCCCATGCCCCATCACAGGTCACACACAGCAACAGACACTTTAGAGAGAAGTCATTTTAAATGTAGTAGTAGCAGTGCCTCACGGTTCAGGGACTGGGGGTCCCCCCAGGTCCAGGGTGCCTCTGTGCATGGGGATGGTGGCCAAGTGGTCCGGGTGGGTCCCTTGGTGTGGGAGTGAGGCCGGAGTCCCTGGTTATGGGTCTTGGTTCTCAACTGCTGGGGCCCTAGGCTGGGTTCAGCCCTGGGTTCCAGGTCCCAGGTCCCTAATGCTGAGCTGGGTCCTGGGTCCTGGATGCTGGGTCCCAGGTCCCTGGTGCTGGGTAAGTTCCTAGATCCTGAGAGCTGGGTCAGGCAGGTCTTGAGTCCCTGGTTCTGGGTCCCGGGTCCCAAGTGCTGAGGCCCTCGTGCTGGGCTAGGTCCAGGGTCCTGGGTGGGCGCTAGGTCAGGGCCCGAGTCCCCGGCACGGTGACCCGGCCTCACCACTTGAGGAAGACCATGGCGGCTAGCGCAGCATAGCCCAGCACCAGGAAGAGCACCTTCAGCAGCCGGTCGCTCTTCTCCTCCAGCTCCTTGGCCAGGATCTCGAAGAAGGTGACGAAGAGGAAGGTCCCGCCGGCCAGGCCCTGCAGCAGCACCGAGGCCACGCTGCTGGGCACGCCCTGGGCGCTCTCAATGCCCAGGCCAGCGCCGATGCCCAGCGGGATCATGGCGCTCACCGTCACAGCCAACTTGGCTGCGTCCCGCAGTGGCATGGCGCTCCGGGCCATGCTGATGCCCAGGGCCACGGCCACCAGCGTCTCGTGGATGGCCACACCCACGAAGAGGCTGACCACCTTCTGGCCCTCCTCCTGCAGGCCCAGCGCCAGGCCCTCGAAAATGGAGTGGGCCGAGAGGGCGAAGACCAGGCTGAGCAGGCGCAGCGGGCCGGAACGCGACAGCTCCTGCACGTTCAGGCCGTGGGGGTGGGCGTGCGGGCTGGGTTCAGCGTAGAGCGCATGGCCCCGCGAGCTGCCCATGAAGGGACTCTCGTACTCAGAGTCGCTGCCTGCATCTGAGCCGGCATTGAAGGTCTCCAGGTCGATGAAGGACGGCTTCTCCTTGCGGAAGGTCAGGACGAGCTGCTCCAGGAAGACGGTGAGGAAGAAGCCCAGCATCATGATGGTCTCGGCCAGCGGGTAGTCAGTGTTGATGTGGCCCAAGCTCAGCACCTGCTGCAGCTGTGCGGGGCGGGGCGGGCGTGAGGCTGGGGCTGATCAGCCAAGCGCGCCCTTCCTGCACACGTCCGCAAAGCACCAGAGAAACGGCACACTTCCACAAGACGATGTCACTCAGAAGCACCTGGGACTCACACACATCCACAGGACGGACTGGGCGTCAGGCATGCCTGGGTCACCTGCACACACATCCACAGACAGGATGTCACTCAGAAGCACCTGGGTCACCCGAACAGGTCCCTACGACAGGCCACCCGCACACATCCACACGGCAGGCTGATGCTCTGAAGTAGCCTGGTGCTCACGCCCACAACCACACGACGGATGTCACTCAGATGTACCTGGGTCACTGCACACACGTCCACACACAGAGGGCTGCTACCCAGAAGTACTTGGCCCTCGCGCACACGTCCACAGGACTGGATGACAGGCAGAAGGGCCGGGGTCACCCTACAACAGACTGCGACTCAGGTGCACCCAGGTCACTGGCACGCATCCACACCATGGGAGGTCGCTCAGCCTGGACCCCCAACTCAGCCTGGGAACGGAATGCCCCTCGGAGCACAGCTGCTCTCTGACACACAGGGAGGTGCTGGGGACGGGCATCTGCTGAAGCTCCGCCCCCTGGGCTGACCTCAGAGCTCCAGGGACGTTGGACATACTGCAGCTATGCTGAGCACTGTGGACGTTGTCCAGCCCCTGTGGCCTGAGCTGCGGAAGTGTGACTGGCTCCTCTGTGATTGTATGGAGTTTGAACCTGAGTGGTCTCTTGGGGTGAGCGGGGAGGGGATGTTTACACGCTGTCCTGTGTGAGCCGGCCACTCGGAACGGACGCCCTTCCTTCAGCTTGGTCACAGGTGGTTTGTGTTCAAGTCTTGGCTCCCACGGAATGTCAAAGGCCGCCACGCTACGGCTCATAGCTAGCCCTCCTTTCTCCCCCTTGTCACAGCCGACACTGTAGCTCACAAACACAGGCATGGATGCACACACAGACATGCACACAGACATAGTCAGGCACACAGGCATGGATCTACACACAGGCACTACGCACATGGACAGACACACAAGCACACACACGTACACATGTATGGACACACACACACAAGCATGGATAGACAGGCACATGCACAGATACACAGGCACATATAGCACAGCCACATAGCTATACATACATAGACATATACACACAGCACATAGCACAGCCACATAGCCATATACACACAGAACCAGACATACACTCAGGCACATATACACACACACACAGCCACATATGCACACGCACCCCAAAGCAAGTAGATAAACACAGACATGGACAGAGATATAGACACACAGACAAATATGCATGCTCAGCTCAGACATAGTAGTTCTTCTGATGGACACCCCCCAACACACACACACACACACACACACACACACACACACAGAGCCCAGGGGAAGGCTTGAGGGGGCAGCCCTAACTGCAGTCACCAGGGTACCTCCTGGCACTGCTGGTCCAGGGACCTGTGCCCACTATTCATCCTCTGCTGCTACTCATCCAAGGAAGTGGGTCCCACCCCAGTTGGGCCTGGGATCGGGTGCAGGGAGCCTGGAGACCCAGGCTAAGGTGGGCGTGACAGCCTTAGTGTCTCCTGTCCAGCGGAAGCCTGCCGGACTCTGGGACAAATGGTGTAGATGAGCCCTCTGCTGCCCACCCGGGTCCCAGGGCTCTCGTTGGCTACAGGGTCTCCATAGACCCCGTGCCCCAGGGCACGGAGCGTGCCCGCCCCATGGGGTTCTCGCCTGGCCTTGCTTTCTCGTCCACCTTGACCTGGAAGCTGCACTGGATCCTGGTCAGTGGCACAGCAGCACACCAGCTGGAGCCAAACCCGGTCTCCAACAAAGAAGGCCGGAACTGCACCTGAAGCACCCGGCCAGCAGCACTCGGCGGGTCGTGATGCCCTTCGAGTAACTTCTCACCTAAATCTACGCCCTTGACAGCACCCAGAGAGTCCCCAAAACGGCCCGTGTTCAAATCCACTCAGTGGTGTTGTGGAGGGTAGGCCTGGCAAACAGCCTCCCCAAGCAGACAGCTGCCGCCCCCATGGCGCCCAGCTCTACGCAGGAGGCCACCTCCACCCCCAGACCCCATGAGCCTTGCTCTTGCCCTTCACAGGGCTGGGCCGTGATGGCCACGCCGCTCGCTGGGCTGCGCACCTGGCGCGAGTGCAGGTGTCCATCTGCTCTGGCCCTGTGAATGGAGCCGGCAGGCTCCACCGCATCTGACAGAGGCCACAGGACCACGCCCCAACCACACAGATGGCCTTGGCACTGGGGGTGCCGGGCAGCATCCCTAGCCTCCACCCACTGTGCCAGCAGCATCCTGCCTTAGTCACGACAGCCACAATGTCCTCAGACATTGCCCAGTATCCGTCCCTTGGCGGGGGCGTAAGTCTCTGGGCTAGGGATTTCCACTGATCCCCAAGAGACCCTGCATCCCATGATCCCCTGGCCTACTGATGTCCTAGGGTGCTGCCCAGAGTGATACCCACACACTGAGTGGGAGGAGGGAGATCACAGGGGCTGAGGGTCCCCTAGTTGATGCTGTCTGACCAGTGGGAGTTTATTTGGCAGCTTGGTGTGAGGTAGGAATCGAGTTCAATTGCACATCTGCGAAGGTCAGTCCATCGCAGAGGCAGACAGTGGATAAAGGACTGCCAGGGGCTGGGGAGGAGGAAACAGATACTAAGAAGCCACAGCCTAAGAAGACAACAAAGAAACGGCATTCGGATGTTCCCTGTGAGAGCCTGTTTGCTACGCAGTCACAGCCAGCTAACACAGGGGTTGGAGGGAGACCAGGCTGCCAGCCAGCCACCCAGGAGCAAAGTGTACGAGGGGACTTCCAACACTGGTGGAAAAACTCCAGTCTCTTCCTCTTCGTTCCATTTTGTCCCACCGAGCTCTGGGAAGCCTCCTGGTGGATGGCCCAGGGGGCGGGGGTGTCTGGTAGGGGTGTTTCTCGGGTAGCAGTATATGAGCCCTGCCTCCTGGGAACCCTGGTCCAGTCTGCTCACTGGGGTTAGGGTCCTGGAGCCCTGTGGGTGCGGTGGGTTAAGCCCAGGGCTGCTAACCGGAGGGGCAGCAGTTTGAACCGCCTGCAGCTTCATGACAGTGAGATGGGGGAGGCCTGTGAAGAGCGACAGCCTCGAAAACCCTTGGAAGCAATTCGACTCTGCCCTAGAGGGTGGGCTGTGGGTGTAGACTTGTGGCTGTGACCCCGCCTGGGAATGAAACCCGAGGAGGAAATGGGCCGCAGTGAGCCTGGGGTGGAGGGGGGCGAAGACGGACACCAGTCAGGAATCGCCAAGGGCTGGGGGCGGGGGACAGAAGCTGAAGAAAGACAAGGACCTTCCCTGACAATGGCACCCTGCCTCCGGCCTCCTACACTGAGAAAAGTTCTGCTCCTTGAAGCCCCCCTCTTGGATCTTCCTGTCCCGGCAGCACCTGGAGACCCAGACACCAGGGGAGGAGGACGAACAACTCAAACCACAGCAAGTTCTGCCTGCACTGAGCCACTGTGACAGTTACAGAATCACCTGTCAACTTGCGAAGGGGTGGAGTCTAGCCTGTCAATCACGTCTCAGTGTGATGACCTCATTTGGAGGCGCCACAGAGATAAATAGCTCACTGGAGGCCAGACACACACACACTCTCTCTCTCTGCTTGACATTCCTGCTGAAGAGACACACGGAGCTACACTAAGAGCCCTGGAGCTGGAGGAGCCACGCAGAAAACCCTGCCAGCGTTGAGATGCTTCCACTGCCGCTGGATCCACAGACTTTCCACCCACTTGCCTGTGGTCTTCCTGCACTCAGTGTCATTGCATGGCTGTGTGAGTCCAACTAGAGCGACATATGGGGTAATAGCAGACTTAAGGACTTGATCTGGACTGGACTGGGATGGTTTCTTAATACACAATTGCTCTTTGATATAAAATTCTCTCTTACACATGCGTGTCTATGCATTTGTTTCTCTAGCAACCCAGACGGTGCCAAGGCCCCAGGGGTTCCCCCTCACCTTTTCCCTCACAGCGGGCAGCAGGGCATTGAAGCAGGTGGCCAGGAAGACTCCGCCTCCGAAGGCGTTGCAGAGGGACAGGGCTTTCTTGGAGCGGTGGGCCTTCTCAAAGTCGGCCTCGATGAGCTTCACCGGCAGCAGGGAGCCCAGCAGCATGAAGAAGAACACGCCCACCATGCACAGCAGCTTGGCCACGAGCAACTTCGTCATGGCGGCCGGCCCTGCGTCCAGCTGGACGGCTCTGCTCCCCTCGGCCCCCACTGGAGGTGGCGCCTGCTCCTCTCCACGCCGTGGGGGCTACCGGGGCCTGCTGCGGCCCAGCGGTGGGCTCATGTCTCAGTCCAGCACCTGTGAGCGCCAGAGGGAGGGGCGGGGCAAGTGTATTACCATGGACTGCTGCCCGCTCCAGCTGGCCCCAGATACAGCAGGTGTGTCCACTGATCTGCCCCTTAGGTTCCCGCCCCCTGCCATCTGGTCAAACTCTGGATCAGCGATTCTCAACCTGTGGGTCGCAACCCCTTTGGGGGTGAACAACCCTTTCACAAGGGTCATCCGATTCATAGCAGTAGCAAAATGACAGTGATGAAGTAGCAATGAAAATAATTTTATGGTTGGGGGGGTCACCACCACACGAGGAACCGTATTAAAGGGTCGCGTCATGAGGAAGGTTGAGAACCACTGCTCTAGATGCTATGAAGTCTTTACATGGGGTTAGCATTCGAATCAGCTGGTCTTAAATGAAGAGGTGCACCCAGGTGGGTGGGACTGATCCAATCAGTAGAGGGCTCTAAGAACAAAAAGGGAGGGTGGGGGTGAGGTGTCTGCCAGAACTGCTCTTTGCAAGACCTTCTGACCATCCAGATGTAGGGACATGAGACCGACAGATCCCCAGCCTACTGCACGGCCTCCTGATTTGGGAATTGGTACCTGACAGTTGTGTGAGCCAATTCCTCCAACCAATCTCTCTATATATACATATACAGTAATATAGATATTCAGTAATAGTAATATGCCAGTAACATATTATAGTGATTGAAGCCATAATATATCTATATAATAATTAAGGTCATAAGTATCACTAAATAGTATAAACACACACATATGTGCACACCGGGAGTTTTTAAAAGTCTCAGGCGGAGGGGGGAAAAGAGGAGCTGAGATCAAGGGTTCAATAGAAAGTAAATGTCTAGAAAATAATGATGGCAACATATGTACAAATATACTTGATCCAGTTGATGTATGGATTGTTACAAGAGCCCCCAATAAAGTGATCTTTGAATAAAAATTTAAAAAAATTAAAAGTCTGTGGGAAAATTCTATTTTAAAACAATTTTTGAAATTCTATTATTTTTTAATTCCATATTTCCATGAATTTTTTGAAATTCCCTGTACACCAACATACACACACATAGAGCCTTCAAAATGTTTGTGGAAAATAGAATTTAAAAAATGATAGAATAAGTGCTCCCCAAACACATACATATACACACACACACAGGAGCCCTAGAAGTGCCTCTGGGTCAGTGTTGATTGCTAAGTGCAAAGTGGGCAGTTCAAATCCGCTAGCCGCTCTGTGGGAGAAAGATGAGGCTGTCTGTTTCTGTAAAGATTTATAGCTTCAGAAACTTTACATAGGGTCCTTATGAGTTGGAATGAACTCAATGCCCGGGGATTTGATTTTTTGGTGTATACCAAAAATACACACACACACACAGACTCAGGACCATATCCCGCTCCATCCAGTGGAAGCCGACACAGTGTCCCTGCAGGGCAGGCTGCCTCTCTCTCCTCAGAGGGGCTGGGAAGAGGCTGACCGGCTCAAAAGCTGGCCGCCTGGCTCACAGCAGAGCCCTGAAGGGCTGTGCCCGGGATTCCGCATCTTCCTGGCTCTGTCTCCCAGGAGGAGCGCGACTAAGACCTGTCCTTCCGGGGCTGGACAGACCTCGCCCTGAAAGAAGGTCCTCGGGGCTGGGCTGTCATAAGAACTTAAGGACAGCCACTCCTCAGTCCCAGCAGACACACTGCCAGTGTCAGCTGCCCTCCACCCCCAGAGCGCAGCATCTGCTGCACGGATGGGCAGCCACAACCTTGATCCAGGGCCTTCCCGCTGCCCATGCAGAAAGCCCAGGCTCTCCTGCAGCCCCTCCCTTGCCCACATCGCCTTTCTGGCTGTGGGACATGCGGGCTCTCTCCCTGCCTCAAGGTCTTTGTACAAGTTGTTCTCTGCCGCCACCCACTGCCGCCCCCTCACTGCCCATTCACAGTGAGCCTGGAGGGTGGAGTAGAGCGGCCCCTGTGGGTCTGCACGACTGTCAGTCTTCAGGGAGGCAGACCGCCTTATCTTCCTCTTGCGGAGCCGGCTGGTGGGTTTGCACTGCCAACCTTGCAGCTAGCAACCCAGCGCTGAACACACAGCACCACCACTCCTTTCCCCACGTCCTCATGACATCTCCTTGTCTCTGGCTCATTCACTGCCTCTCTGGGACCCATAAGAAGGGCTTCCCTGGACCCAAACCCTTGCTCTTTCCTGTATCCCTGGCCCTCGGCAGAAGGTCCAACACAGAATGGAAGCGTAGTGACCTCTGGCTGAACAAATGCATCAGCAGAAGCCCGCGTACTGGAAACCAAATCAAAACTCACTCCCAGGGAGGCGATTCCAACCCACAGCGACACCAAAGTACAACTCCCGCTGTGGAACTCCAAGACAAGACTGTCGGTCTTCACAAGGGCAGACAGCCTCATTTTTCTCCTGCAGAGTGGCTGGTGGCTTCAAACTGCTGCCCTTGGGATGACCAACAGCCCGACACTTAACTCACTACACCAGCAGGACTCCCAGGGCAAATGTGGGCATTCAATGGGCCAAATGGACAGGACTGCCCTGGACCCCAAAACCACCACTGTGACCACCTGGAGCGCCCCCCCCCATTGCTCCCCCACCCAGACTCCCCTCAGGTCTTGCTCAGATAACCCCCAACCTTCCTGGCATTGCTAAGAGAGGAGAGCTGCCTCCACCAGGGTGCTCAAAGCTGGGCTTATCTGGAAGGTGCCTCTGTTTGGACTCAAGCTGTCCGCTCCTCAGTTGGGCTCAAAAACTCTGAACAATGGGGGGAGGGGTGTCACGATTATGGTACTCGAGTTCAAAGTCGTCGCCCCTCCAGGCTGTGTGCTCCCAGGGGCAGGGACCCTGTCCTGCTCACACCTGATGCTCCAGGGCTTGACACACAGCACGTGCTCACTAGGGACCGCAGAGGTGTCATGTACACACAGCGGGCGCTCACAAGGAACCTGCGGGGAGTCGTGGGCACACAGCGGACGCTCCCTGAGGACCCGCCAGGTCTCATCTGCACACAGTGGGTGACCACATAGGCCTACTGGGTGTCGTTTGAACACAGTAGGCACCCATCAAAGACCCACTGGGTGTCCTCTGCACACTGTAGGCGCCTCGCTGAGGACCCGCCGGGAATCTGACAGGGGTCTGACTGGCCAGGCAGAGCAGGGCCGGCTCATTCATTCATTCGCTCACTCCCT